CGACGGCGTAGGCTGCAGCCCCTGCTGCAGTGGTTTGCCATGGGCTACCGTGAGCAGCCAGCAGCCACCGTGAGCAGCCGCCCAGAAGCCAGCGACTGATCTGCCTTGAGCGAGAAGAGCGCAATGATGGTGCCAACTTGGGCCAGTGAAGTAACGTCCTCCACAACTAGACTGAAGAACAAAACGACAGTAACTTGTCTGTTCCCATCCCCCCAATTCCCCAAATACAAAAATCTTAAAAAAAAAAAAAATCTCAGGTTGAAGCCCTGTGGAGACTGGTTCAGGAAAGCTTGTGAGGAATGGCAGGGGCTCTCAGTAATTTCTGAGAAAGCATCTATCAGTAGCCTCACCAGGAAAGCAGGTAGTTCTCACATGCTGAAAATCCACCGCGGGTCTCACCTCTGCTCACCAGTCTGACTACAGACACCTCTGGAGAATAATAGCCTCTGTTTCTCTTCTAACTTACAAGTTTTGCACAAAGTCCTCTCACTGACAAACCATACAGGAAAGAGAACTCTGGGAAATGTTATCCTGATTTCTCCTGCACTTACAGAACCACTAAGAAAGTCATATGTGATGAGTAGGCAACAGACAGTTCAAAGCAGATTCGTTGAAAATAACCAAAAACATGGTCTCAGAAATTGCAAATTATTGCTTCTATCACCGACTCTGCCCAAAGAGTGATGCCAGTATTAGGGGCAAGTTAGGAAAGATGAGATTTGTTTTGCACCTTCTGGTTCAATTCACCCCCGTTAAACAGGACACTATTTCAAGATTCTAACATTATAAATGTTTCAATCCATGTGTTAATGTTGATATTACTTCAGATACCTTTGGTACCTTTATTGAAAAATATATTTCTACAGGGCACAGTATATGGTGTGTGTGTGTGTGTAGAGAAGAATGAGAAAGAGTGATAAACGTAGGGAAATAAATTATATTACTACTAAATTAATTATTTTTCCCAGGAGCCTAACACAAGTCTAGCACACATAGTTACAATTTTTTGGTGTGGTTAGAACATTTAAGATCTACTCTCTTAGTTACTTTTAAGTATATAATGCATTACGTAATTATAGTCATCGTGTCATATGTTAGATCCCCATACTTACTCATCTTATGATTAGAATCCTGTGCCCTTTGAACTACATCTCCCCATTTTTCCCTAGTCCCTGGCAATTTTCTTTTTTTTTTCACATTAATACAGCTGTTTACAGCTGTTCATGTCAGAACACACAATATGATAGATAGATGATGTATCACAGAATTGTACACCTGAAACCTATGTAACTTTACTAACCATTGTCACCCCAATAAACTTTAATTAAAAAGAAAATAAAAGGGCCCAGGCAATTTTCAATTTGTATATTTGATCCCATTATTAACACAGATTCATAAAAATGAATTTATCAAGTATCATATATGTAATATATTATTACAAATATCACATTATCATTTGCTTTCAATGCAGTATAAAAACTGAGTGGTAGAGTAAGTTGAACATAAATTAAGACAATACAATACTGTCATAAACAAGAAGAGCATTTTCTTTCCTTTTTAAAAAATATATTAAGTCAGAGAATGAATAAACAGTGATTTCATAGATCAACATGAAATTTAAATCAGTTTTATTCACACACTTGAATGTTTTAGAAATATGACAATGACAATGACGAAGAAGATGAAGATGGTGATAAAATGAAGGTAAGTTTGTGGTCCTGGCAATGGAATTCTTATGTCACTGTCTACATGGTCTGAGAAAAGTTACCTGAGATCATTGGATTGACTTTCCTCAGAGATAAAATGCATACATATACATGAATGTGCCTTTTCATAATGAAAATCAAATGATGCTGTACTTTTACAATATAAAGATATAATCCAGGCCTTCATAAAATGGAGAAGAAATCTGTAAACAAATCAGACTGTTTCAGACATTCTGAAAAAATTGTATCTCATCTTATTGAAATCTAATCTCTCTTCCTTTCCCTGCTCCCCCAGATTCCTCTCTCCCTCTCTCTCTCTCTCTCTCTCTCTCTCTCTCTCTCTCTCTCTCTCTCTCTCTCTCTCTCTCTCTCTCTCTCTCTCTCTTTCTCTCTCTGCCTCCCTCTCCCTTTCTCTCTCCATTCTTTTATCCAGATGCATGATTATCACAATATAATAAAATTAAAATTTGGGAGCAAATTATTTTTCTAGAGGAAATGGGAGAATTATTTTAATTTAAAAGCAAAATTTAATCCTTAGAATTGCTGTAACAGGAGTAAAGTGTCTCAGGTCAAAGTCATAATTAATCTGTATCTCATGCACTTCTACTTCTCCACTTGAAACATACTTCTACGAGGTCCAGTTGAAAATGTAAAGTAAGGAGTAAAACTTCCAATGACATGAGAATGGAACTCTCCTAAACAATTTAAGAAAGATTCCTTGATAGAGTTACTGGGGAAGTGGGTGAAAGAAGTTCCAGGCCATGAGATAGGAAGACATCAGCACTTGTGTGCCATGTTCTAAACAGAGTGAAGGTTCTGTCTTGTGGAGAGAAATTTCCAGTATCTGGAGATGGAGAAGCAGGCAGTTCTGATTACTATATTGCTCAACAAAATATTAAAGACCAATAAATTAGAATGGTTAAATTACTTCCTGGTTGAAAACCTATGGCACTACTGCCATAGCTCAGATAAAGTACAATATTACTTTTCCTTGCTTTGGCTTTTTGAGAAGAAATTTACTTACAGGTGAATACACACACACATATGTACAGGCGAATATTTCCAAGGTTTTGTTTTTGTTTTTTAATTCATATAGATGTTTGTTTTATTATGTTAAAATGGGACCCCAGGATTCCTTAACTTCTGAGGGGAATAGAGGGCCTGTGAGGAAGAGGAATTGTGGGAGGTTAAGGGGAAAACATGGTAATACATACATCATTTCCCTATGATGTAAGGGACTTCTAAAAGAATTTTTAAACAATTAGAACCTAAGCCATACTCTAATCTCTATCAAGCCAGGAATGCAGCAAATAATAAATATAACAATTAAATCATGAAAGTATCTTTTTCTTCATTCATCTTGATTCTTCACTTAATTGAGAAATATGATCATTTGTGGATAACTACACATTATTTTGGAAATTTCTCTGTGACCTAAAACTTTTATGAGGTGATGATAAAATGTTC